AAATCCTTCCCTCCATCTGCCCAAGGATGCTGGAGCCATGGGAACACCCGTGCCTGGGGACACCTGGTGCTGTGCCCCGTGAGACAAGGGGCAAAGGAGCAGCTGAGGGAGACCACCCACTCTGAGCCGCACAGAGCCAGGCAGGGGAACCTCACAGCTCCCCACACCAGCCCTGTCAGACCTGTGTCCCTCTGATCCCAGGGGATCTGCATGGCTGTGGAGCATCCCATCCTTGTCCGTCCCTGAGCAGCTTCTCTGTGGCATATGGTTCAGTGGGAACATTGGCTGTGGGCTGCAGAGGATGGGCAAAGAACACGGAAGCTGAACCCCACATTTTTCTGCTGTGAAGCTGAGGTCACTGGTGGCAAGTCCTCGTGGGGAATGTCCCCAACAGCCACAGAAACAAGGCACAGCAGATGCTGGTGGCTGAGACCCCTCACGGGACAGTGCTCAGGGCTAGTCCCCTCTGGCTCAGGGGGGCTCTGTGGGCACAGGGCCAAGCAGGGCAGCCCAGGGGGCCAAACCCTCCCCGAAGGCTGAACAGGGCTGGCGGCCCCTTCCCCAGCTCTGCCGGGCACAGCAGAGGAGGACCCAGCATTTCCTCCAGCATGGGGAGCTGACAGACAGTTTGGGGGGCTACAAATCAGAATTGAAAAGCCGGGGCTGGACAGGCTGTCTGGGAACTCGTAACCTGAGCCCCAGGAAAGGAGGACTCAGGAAAGCGCTTTCAGCAATCATATTCATCATCTTCAGCTCGGGCTCATTAGGCTCGGGGAGCCCAGCCCCGCCACCGCCAACGCCTCCCGCACGCAGATAGAGCCGCCGGCTCAGACAAATAAATGCTTCCAGCTTCCCGGTGGATGCGGCAGGTCAGGGAGCATCTGATGCCAATTACCCGCGGTGTAGGGTTCCCGGGCAGCCCCGCGCTGCGAGGCGGCTCCCGCCCGGCTCTGCCCGGCCACCGACACGTCCCCTCCCGTTCGGGGTGGCCCCACGGGTCACCCTCTGCTCGCGGTGCCAGCAGCGATGGGGGCAGCCGAGGGGAGAGTTGCAGCCTTCTGCCGCAGGGGAAGAACAGCGCTGTGCCCCCGCGCTTTGGGCTCCTCCATCCCGGACCGGGGCCCGGCACGGGGACTGATCACCCCAGCGCTTCAGGGCATGGTTGAAGGCCACCTTACCGTGCGGCCAACCCCACCAGCTTGTCACTGCTGCCACTCCCTCTCAGGCTGTCCCCACACGCGTGCTCACGACAGGGACCCTCCTCGCTGCTCCCTGGCATGGGGCACGGGGTGGAGGGATGTCCCGGCTGGTGCAGCAGGTTTGGAGCCATCCTGGCCGAGGGGCTGGCAGAGCCCCGAGCACTGGGCAGCCCTTCACCAAGCAGGGGGAAGAGTTTTGGGGCTGGGCATGGCCGTGTGACAGCACGTGGGTGCCCTGCTGAGTGTGGGATCCCTGGGGCTGCTCATCCCCACCTCAGGCCTTGAGCAGAGGACAACTGTGGGAGTCTTGTCAGATTCAGGTCCAAAATCACAACAGGACATGGAAACCCATGGAAAGGGCTGGGGAGGGTCCAGGTGTCCATCCTGATGGCAGCCAGCACAGCCACACAGCCTCGCCAGGCACGCTGGTGAAACGGGCACAGGTGGCTCTGCTGGCCCCGTGGCTCCTGGGGACAGCTGCACGTTCCCTCTTCTCCAGGCCCAGGCTGGCCTGGATGTCCTTAATTGCCCAAAGGTCGGTGTCCCCGAGCCCGGGGCCACGTGTCGGAGGGACTGCGGGCAGGAACCTGACACGGACACAAGTCACTCGGGATCAACGCTGGGGGTCAGGAAATTACAGCGGACACGAACCTAAATACGCTGCACGTCCCCCCAGGTAATCAGGGGCCGGGCCAGATTCCAGCTGACAGCTTAAATGCCTTAATTCCTCGGCCCCGTGGTTCGAGGGGGTCCCGTGTGCCGTGGGCTTCTCCCAAATGGTCTCTGAGCTGGAGATTTGTCTGTAATTGGAGGCGTGTTGCATTCCCCTGAAAGTAGCCAGGTCCCGCTGGAGGGGGGCTGCGGGAAGGCAGCAATTTCCCTTATGGAATTATTTACCTGATTAGAGAGTTTATTTTATCAAAATTGCTTCAGAATGGGGTTGCTCAGTGTGTCCAGCACAGGGAGCTCCCCGGTGGGGCTGGCGGCCTGGAGACAGGTAATTTGTGTGGTTAATGGGACTAATCCACCAGGCAATTACACCAATAGATTTCACGGCTGCGAAGTGCTCTGTTCCCATTAATTAAAAATCTGTTAAGAAGATTAGCACGTAAAGGTATCAAAAGAAACCCACGAGTTTCTTTCCCCACAGGCCCCCCGAAGGCGAGTGTGGGAGTGCTGGATTGCTCACATTAGCACAAAAATGATTCTTTTAAAGGTAAGGGCTTCACATCCAAAGTGACTGCTGACAGTTTACCCCGACTCCTCTACCAAGAGGTCCTTTATTTTTAATTACAGTTTTTTTAAAATTAGCCCTGATTGTTCGCGTGGAGTGTTAGCTTAAATATATTTGGAACGTGTGTTTGCCCTGTGTGTGGTAGCACAGGGTGAGGAGGGCAGCCCCTGGCCCAGCCCTGCACCCCCTGTGCCCCCACTGCTGGGCTGGTGCTCGGGACTGCCCAGGAGGGGTCAGGGCTCCGAGGGGTCTGAGCTGAGCATCAGCATCCCACTGAGATGTCAGGGATGGTGACGGCACCACCACTGGTACCACCACAGGTGGAGGCACCAAACCCAGCTCTGCAGCAGGCACTGGGCTGCGTGGGCACCTCCCCAGTGTGCAGGGGGCACACGACTCCCACCAGAGGCTTCTGTGTGGCAGGAGACCTGTGCCACCACCGCTGCACCCCAGGACACCCCACTGCCACCCCAGCGGGAGGCTGCCGGCCAGCCCAGCCCAGCCCAGCCCCTCGTGCCACTCCTGGGCTTTGTCCACAGCCAGACACCAGCAAAACAAAAGCAAATTCCCCAGCAGCTGAAGGTGCCATTTTTATGGCTGGGCTGAACGGAGGAAGTATTTTTTGATCTGTTAAAAATCCTGAATATTATCTGACAGTTTATCTTGTTTCTCGAATCCGTGTCTTTGCAGCAACGCCAGCTCATTTACATGTGTATTGCGCCTGCCTCCACGGGTGCTGAGGTCAATTGAAACTCAAGAAAAGAGGAGAAATTTATGCAAAACTGTTGATTGCATTTGTATGTAATGAAATCATCCAATATTCATCTGACTATAGACTCTAATCTGAAAGGAGAAGTGAAGGACATAAGAGTCACTGGAAAGCAATAATGAGCTTCTGTAGTGATTAAAAAAGCACTTGAGTTTTCTGAAAATCCAGCCAGAAATCGTGTCTAATCAACACGGAATATAGGAGGCAGAGATTACATTGATACATTTTGCAAAGCTCACTGCTGAAAATGTATGCGCGCTGTAAACTCTGACATGCCATCCAGGGCCTGTTGGATACAAATCCGGGCGGCACAATCAGCGCCCGCTCGTCCCTGGCACAAAGCAATCTCGGTGTCTCTGCTCGATGACTCACAAGGAGCGCAATCACATCTATTTTGAAGAGCAATGTTGTTTTTTAACTATGTCGAGAGCTTCCAGCTTCCTCGGAGTTTTTCCTTGCCTTCGCCTCCGTTCCGCGTGTCCCTGCGGCCGCGGGCTCGGTCCGGCGGCTGCGGCAGCCCGGTGCCTGCCCCGGTGTTGGCCAGCTGCTTGGAGCATGGGAACATCCTGGTGGAGCTGAGAGTGGCTTTGGGCAGCCTGGGAAGGGCACAGGTCTGTCCTGAGCAGGGATGGGCACAGGGGTGGGCACAGGGATGTTGGGACTGTGACCCCCAGGGGACCCCCACCCCTCCAGGCCACAGCAGTGCCCACCAGGTGGGACCCTGCCAGTGCCCCAGGCTGGCAGGTGCTGTCAGCAGAGACCTGGGGACAGCCCAGGGCACAGCAGGGCGTCTGGCCACGGCCCTCCCTCACCCTCTGCCCTGCCAAGGCCAAACCGTTTGGTGGCTGATGTGGCATCACTGACACCGACCCACTTTAAACAGCCCAGCTGCTTTCTGGCCCACGTCCCTTCCCCTCCTGGGTTATTTGGCACAGCTGGAGCTCCTTTCCCACCCGCCAACAGCATCAGCTGCACCTTCTTATCAGCTCTGGGTGCAATCCAGGCTGGAACCAAGTGAGAGGCTCCTGCTGGTGCCAGTGGAGGAGTGTTTGGAGCAGGCAGACTTTGTGCTGCAGCTCCTGGTGTGGAGCAGCAGATGATTTGTGCTGTAAAGGGAAAGTGGGACCTCTCCAGGGCCACCCTGTGAGCCAGCCAGTGGTGAGTGCCCATCCTCTCTTTTCCTGGGTGGTGCTGTGTGACTGGGGGGTGCTGGGGCTGTGCTTTTTTAATGCTTGTCCTGCAGGGAACAGGATGGACAGTGGGGGCACAGCTCCCCAGGTTCATGTCCTATCTGCCCTGCTTTGGTGGTACCAGGGCTGAGAGCAGTTTCTGTGGGCCCTGTGGCTGCTCCTGGCTGATGCAGGGCACGGGGCTGAGAGGGGGACACAGGTGAATGGGCTCCCAACCATCCAGGCAGCTCTGCCCCCAGCCCAGCACCAGGGTAGTTTACCACAGGTTTTGTCCCTCGTGTAGTGCTAAATATTTGGGAAATTCCCATGTGCATGACCCCCTGTAGCTCCACTGCCTGCCTCCAGCAGCCCACTGCCACCACCCCAAGGGCTTGGAGAATGGGGAGAGGCTGGAGAAGGCTCCAGGAGCAGCAGCAGCTCCCCACCTGCCCTGGCTTTGTGGGGCTCCCAGCCCAGCTGCTGCTGCTCCTGGGCAGGTATCAGGGAAACCCTTCCAGCCCAGGCTGCTGTGGGGATGCTGAGGCTGCAACAATGGCAAAAAAAAAAAAAAAAAAAAAAAAGCCCAGTTGATAAATGTCAAAAGAAATCCAGTAATCGGCTGAAAGCAATTTCCCGAGCTGTGGAACCGCCCTGGGCTCGCCATCTTCCTTTATTCATTTATCATGGTAAGGGCTTTGGCCAAAATACACAAAGCAGAGAAATTGTTGACATGTGGGGCCCTAGCAGAGCAAATCCTTCATCCTCCTCCCCCTTCCCGTGGCACACAAACTAACTTTTGGGGAGTTGTTTATTTAAGGAGTGCAGAGCACTTGGTGCTCTTTGAACCCAAATGCCTTGGGAGCAGGGCTGGGGCTGCCACCACCTTCCTGCCACTGCCTCCTGCTGCCCTGGAAGTACCTGCTCACTGTGAGGAGCTGAGCTGTGTCAAGAGCTCAGGACCTGCTCTGCTTGCACCTCCTCCAGCCCCTCAGCTATGGTGCCAGAGACTCAGGCTGGGGAGGCAGATGCTGCTTTTGGGAAGTTCCTGTCTTGGCTTTAGGTCTTCTCAGTCCTGGCTAAAGCAGCTGTGCTGACAGCACTGGTTTCAGTTCTCTCCCCACGGAGCCCCTGCCCACCCTGCTGCCATGGCAAGGGGCAAATGCTTGCTTGGGAACACACCAGCCAGCACCTGGCTGTCATGAGGCTGCTGCTCCACACCTCATTTTGACTTTATTTCCAGCAGAAATAAATGCTGAGGTTTGCAGCAGGAGAGGCAGGTTCCTCTCGTGCCTGGCCTGGCTCCAGGGGGCTGAAGGCATGGGGCAAAGATGGGGCACAAAGTGAGCAGGGCAGTCCTTCCACTGTGCCTCCAGCAGTTTCCAGTTCTCCTTCTTGATATTTTATTTTCAATCTCAGCTCATCCACTTCTGTTCCCACCTGGATAAAGGACAGCAAGGAGAGCTCCCCCCTCCCTCCAGCAGACCCCAGGGCAGGCAGTGGGAGCAGCCAAGGCTGCCCCTGCCCACCCCTGAGGCTGTGGCATTCCTGCTCCAGGGGCACTGTGGCACTGGGATGGTGTTTATCCAAGCAGCTCCTTGGTCTTTGCTGCCAGCAGCTTGTCCATCTCTGCAGCAGCCTCATCTGCCATTTGCTGGATCTGTGGCAAGACAGTACAAATCAGAGCTGATGTGAGGTGATGCCACAGTTTAAAGGGGAAGGAGTGACCAAACCACCCTGTGGAACAAAGCTTCAGGTGCCAGCAGAACCCCAGCAGTGCTGGGGCAATAACTGGCTCTTCCTGGGGATTTGTTCCCACCAGCCCTCAGGGAATCTGTGCCAGGGTGTGAGAGCAGGGACTGAAAAGAGAGGCCCACACCAACTCCTGGCTGAGCTGCACAAGTGGCTTGGTCAGGTTTAACAGAGAGCCTCAGGGCAGAGACAGAGCTGCTGGTGCTGGCACCAGGGAAGAGGGGCTGCTACCTCTGCTGGCACTGCAGGTAGTGTCAGTGCCAGGAGTTCACACATCACGTAACAATCTGTTCATCTCTTGTAAAAAGAAATAAAGTGGTGATTGCTCAAGCCCTGCCCAGGGATCAGCTCTCTTGGTAACAAGAGATGGACATGGCCAGTGTGCAAAAGGGATGAAAACAGGCAGGTAAAGTCTGGGGCACACCGTGTGTCATGCACGGGATCCATGGGATCAAGATCTGCTTGTCTGCAAGGTCTGACAGTGACCTTGGCTCATAATGGAAAATCTGGGTACAAGAAAAGAATTCCACTGGAGATGTTACCTCCACCAGTGCAGAAGACATCTGTGTGCTCTGGGAGAGAGGCTTCCCAGCAGGGTTTGGTTACAATGGCCATTTTTCCTGCTTGCACAAACGCTCTGTATATCGATGTTTATTTTTGTGAGCACACACAGAACTGTCCCAGAGCATTTGCAATGTATCTAACTTTAGCTGCTAATAAACAAACAGCTAAGAAGTAATGGCCTGCCTTCAGAGGCATCAATTCAGCAGAACACTTAGGCTTGAGCCTGAGTTTATGCCCAAGTAATTGACTTTAGTGACATCTGCTCTTAGGGAATTAGGCATGTGCTTAAGTATTTTCCTGAACTGGAGCCAAAAGCTCAGAACAGAGATAATCTTGCAAGCCTTTTCATTAATAGCAACTGGAGCAAAGCTCATTAACACATTTGCAGTGGACAGGCATGGCAAAAGTGGTGGTACAGCCATGGCCATGGATTGTTTTGCTCCCTAAATGCTGCTGGTTGGTGCAACAATCCCTCACAGTACGAAAGCTTTTGGGAAATTCTTTTTCCCTGTGTCAGCTTACAATGGCTCATATCCTAAATCTGGCTTTGAGACTGAAGCCCCAAACCTCACAAAGAAAAAGCAGATACAAATGTCATTGCCAGCTCTAGAAATCCAGCCCAGGGCTGTCCATTGCCCCGCTGGGTTCTCAGTGCTGAGGATTTGTCAGCAAGGGCTGGGACAAACCACTGAGCTGTGGGACACCAAAATATGGCAGAAGGAAAGACAAATTACCTGCTTTTCTAGCAGCCAGATGGTATCTTCTGACACTTTGCTCTTGGACTTCTTTATTTGGGTGATGCTTTTGCTCCTCACCTTTCTCAGGGCCTCTTTGGACTTGTTGGTGGACTGCTTGGCCAGCTTGGCCAGGCTCTCCCTGTGCTCCCTCGTGACCCTGGGAGGGAGAGGAGAGGAAAAACACCGAAAGGAAAAGCAGTGTCATGTGTAGCACAGCCAGATTTATTTTCTGTGCAGGACTCTGGGTAAATGAGTGATCCTCTCCAACTGGTGCTGCCCTGCTCAGGGACACACAAAAGCTGCTGGTTTTAGATGGAACTGGCTCTGTGTGGAGACACTGCCTCAGGGCAGAAGGACTGAACAGCTCAAGACACGTTTTTATTCTGCTTTGGTCCACCTGAGAACATCTGCCAGCTCTGCACAGCATTCTAAAGAAGCAGCCTTGAACCTAGAATGGAAAATTTCCAGCTCAGCCCTAAGCTGGGGATCTTGGACTGAATCTTGCTTTTTAGTTCTTGCTGCAGTGCCTGAAAGTCATCTTGAAATGTTCAGACTTTCCTTACTTCCTGCTGCCAAAGCATGTGTGGGAAAGAGGAAAAATCCAGCTCCAGACTCAAAAGATCAAGCGAAAAGTGTCATCCTAAAAAGCACAAAACTGCAAAGCCAGGAGGAAATGTCTGCTCCTGAAACTCGGGTTTGCCTCCCTGCAGCTGAAGAGCCTGAATTATGTACCTGGAAGCTAATGAGCTTCTCTTTCACTCAATCTTATCCCAGCTCACCAGGACCAGGATTTCCCACCAAGATGATATGAACACCTGGGTTGACAAGAGGATGCTGCTGGACGTGGTAAGTCACAGGTAACTCAGAACAGGAGAACTTCTGGTGAGCCCTCCCCTGATGTGGGGCCAGTTACTGCTGTGGTGTCACCAAAAAAATGTTCAACTTTCTATCCCAAACTAAAAACTGGTGATGAGGGGGTCTGGCCATCAGAAAGGCTCAGGAATGGCTGATGTGTCCCCTAAGCTTGGGTCATGCTCCATGACCACTGTCAATTGCTAGTGCTTAACATTAATATTTTAATTATTTTCATAGCTCTTGGAGTTTCCAGACCGCCTGGAGAAGGAAAATCCCCGGTGCAATCCCTGAGACTCACTAGCAGGAGAATGCGTGGGGGTGATACTGCAAAATAAACATTTCACAGGAGTATTTAGAAATTGGCTGCAACAGCCTGGCTCACTAAAACCCTGGGGCTAGGACTCTTTCCACAGAGAGCTCAGGAAACGTGGGGTGAGAGTGCCTGGGCTCTGCCCCTCAGCGGGTGTGGGTCAGGGGGGGCTCTGGGGGCACAGCTGGACCCTCAGCCTGTCCCCACAGCCAGGTTTCTGGCAGCCATCCCCACCGCACAGTGCCAGAGGGAAGAGGTTTCCCAGAAGCAGTTGGTGTTTACAGGAATTCGGGATGGCCAGGAAAGCTGGCAGACCCAGAGAGCCAAGCCAGCCCGGGCACCCCGGCCTGTCCCCTCCCTGTGGAGGGAGCTGGCCAGGGAATGTCACATGGAATCTCAGAAAACCCTGAGCTGGAAGAGCCCAACACCTGGCCCTGCACAGGACAGCCTTCAAATCCCACCCAGTTCCTGAGAGAGTTGTCCAAGCACTCCTGGAGCTCTGGCAGCCCTGGGGCTGTGCCCGTTCCCTGGGGAGCTCTGGGGGAAGAGCCTTTCCCTGAGCTCCAGCCTAACCCACCACATGTGGCAGGAGGCTTCTGGCCAGCACAGGCTGACCAGGAGGGAGCAGGGATCCCTGTGCTTCCCCTGCACCCCAGCACTGATGCTCTGGGGCTTCTCACATCCAACCTCCCCTGGCAGAGCTCTGGCACACCCGGAACGCCCAGTGCCAGCTTACAGGCACAGCACCTTCCCAGGCAGCTTTTTGGGTGAAACAGGGAGTCAATGCTGGCTGCTCAGCCTGCAGGAGGGAGCTGGGAATCTCTGCCATCCCCTGCTGGCAGGGAAGGAGCTGGGAATCTCTGCCATCCCCTCCTGCAGGGAGGGAGCAGCAGCCGGGGGCTGCTGGGCTGTGCCCAGGGTATCGCTCGCCTGCCCGGGGCTGCCGAGCCTTGAAGGAAATGTTTTTGTTTATGCAGCACTGCCAGATTTCCTCTGCTTCTTGGCACGGGGTCACAGCTTTCATGCCTCCTTGTCTGTCTTTATTAACACCAATTTCTTTTTATCACCGCGCAGCGCCGGGGAGTTTCTCAGCGGGTTTTATGTTCCAGCCAGACTGTGTGTAAATTCTCAGCAATGCTACCAATAATGCCAGAAACAGACACTTTTCCAAGCAGATGCTGTTTCTGGTTAAGGAATCCATCAACACGAGCCAGGCCCCAGGTTTCTAAGGACAGTTGTTTTAATCCTGCCCCCAGATCTGGGACTTTTAAGCTGTTCTTAGGTATGTTTTCTTTTCTGTCTAGCAACCATCGTCCCTACCCCTTCTTAAAGCCAAAACAAAGTGTGAACTGAACTTGGGGAAAGGGGGTCAGATGGGGAATGAGGACAAGCTCCCACCCAGCTGCCATGGAGCAGCAGGGTCAGTCCCTGCCATTCCCCCAGGGACAGCCTTGTCCTGCCTGGCCCAGGGCAAACCTGCTGACTGACATGGCAGGGGGGTCACATCTTTTTTTTTTTTTTTTTTTTCTGAGGAATATCTTTTTTTCTGCCTCCCCCAGCACTGCAGCCCTCGAGGTCCCACCCCAGAGCAGACCCTCAGAGAGGACAACCCAGCTCAGCTCAACACAAGACATTTCTCTGGGTAAGAGTGGTTCCTGTACCTCCAACACCAGGAATTTCCTGTGAAGGACAGGGATCAGTTAAAGGAAAGCAGGCTAAACTAAACACTCTGCATTCATAATTGCAGATAAACACGGGCTGCAACATTTATTGCTCAATAAAACAGGCGAGAGGCTCCTGATGATGAGCAGGAGCAGCTCAGAACAGCTTTGGGGTGTTTCCAAGTGAAATCTTTTGGTCTTTTCTCCCCATAGTAGGTATCTTTGCTTATTTCTTAAAGGGCAAAGGGAAAAAAAGGCTCACAATGAGTCATTAAACTTTCAAATGAGTCATCTGGCTTTCAGTAAAGCATGTGTAAAAATATTACTGATTTACAAACAATATCCAGTGTAACACAATAGGTCCAAAAAAGATGAATCTAAAAATGAGGCAATACCATAAAAGACACAAGGTCAGGTCAAATTTGGCCAAGAGATCAACCAATATTAATGTTCCCATGGATGGTGTTCTTTTTTTTTTTTTTTTTTTCCCTTTTTTTTTTTTTTTAATTTTTATTTTTAAACCCTCAGAGGCTACTTTTTATACAAATAAATATTGCCTGTGCAGTGCTAGCCACACAAACAGGAGAATGCCTTGGGGAGCAGAGGGATCCTGGCAGGCAGCAGAAGTAAACACCAACCACACGAGTGTATTTTTTCTGTTAAAACTGCATTGCAAAAACTAAACTGATGGAATAAATACTGAAAAGCAAACTCCATGTTTTAATGCTCTGCTGAAACATTCTGGAGCACAGCTGGGCCTGCACAAGGCAAAATATGGCACATGTGTGTCCAGCTGATAGGTCACACTGAGGAGTGTTATAATGACAGATAAGGACAATTTGGATTTGGTTTCATTTTTACTGTGCCTCCCTTCATGAAAGAACCAAACTCTGCAGAACCAATATTAATATTGTCTTTTCATCTCTGATTTGTTGCTTGTTTTGCACACCTGACGTAATTCTGCAATTTCACTGCATCTCTGTCATATATTCTTTCATGAACTGCTGGAAATAATGTAAAACTTCAAGAAAAAATTTAAAAAGTAAATGAGGAATATAATTATCTTTGCCCTGCCTTTTTCATTAGGGAGTTTTAAAAGGCTGGAAGTGTTTGTCTTTGTGGTAAGTGGCTGAAACTCCCACAGCCCCAGACATGGAGCTAGAGAGCAGAGGGGACTGGAGTGCCAGTGAGGGCAGATCCACGGGCACAGCTCCCAAAATCCTTAACTCAGGACTTGCCAGGCTCCCCAGCAGCCAGGAAGGGACCAAGAGCTGCAAGCCTGACACAGGAGGGGAACACAGGAGCTTCCCTGGGAAGAGAAGCCCTGGTTTTGCTCTGCAGCACCACAGAAGATAGTGACAGACCGCACACATTTGTTTAAAAACACAGTATTTTGTTAAAGCTCGGGATTTGCAGTTTTGGAGTTTCCTCCCCTGCAATTCCTATTCAAGGATGACCCAAGTGCCCATTAACAATCAAACCACTGTGCAGCAACCCGGGAGCCTCAGCAATTACAAAGATAATGGTGCCCTCCTCCTCCTCTGCCTCCTCTCCTGAGGAATGGGGGAAGGGCAGGGAGCACAGGGAAGGAAAATCAGCAAATAGAATGATAATGTCATTGCCTCTCACCACCAGCAACGGAAAGCTGCAATTAGACTGATCAAAATGCTGGGTAAAATTCCACAGAATGTTTAAAGGAGATTTACAGCACAAGAAATACCTGCTTCATCTCTACCAAGAAGTCACCTGCTTGTGCAAGGGGTTTGTGCATGCCCTGTGTGGGAGCTGCTTGTCTTTACCATGGTTGAAACCATGCCCAGCCACACCTGCCCAGGTGTTCAGATGCTCCATAAGGTCTGAGCACCCACAGGAACTGATGAATTTTGCTTGTGCCTCCCAGGGCTGTGCCAGGCTCTGTGTGTGTCAGCGGGTGGAGCTGCTGGGAGATTTCTCATTTCATCTGAGAGGAGCCCCATTCCCAGGCAGAGCCAGGATCACTTCTCCTGATCCAAACTGAAGCATGGATGCAGCAGCACCTCCTGCCTCGCTCAAGGTCTGTGTTGGATGAGGGAAGTGATGCCCAGCCCTTGCCCAGAGACAACCTGTTTTTCCAGCCCCACACCCAATTTTCCACACAGCCAGTGGTTACACACTGTGTAGTACACAAAAGAGTGAGCAGATTTTTTGCCAAAGCTATAAATTTCCTTCCCCTCACTTTCATCAGTTCCTTTTAGTGTTCTCTGCAGCAAGGTGCTGCTCTCCCCTAACATCACTGCTTCAACACCACTGTTCTGTGCTGGTGCAATTGCAGGAATTTAGAGCAGAGCAGCAAAGAATCAGCCCCTGGATTTAAGCAATACAGTTTCAAAAGCTTTTGGCTCTCTCTTTCAAAGTGCTGCAGCCAGCCAGGACCAAACTTCTTCTGCAGAGGGAAGATGAAAAATAAGATCAATCATCAGATACCAAGATGTGGTGACAGAGCTCAGACATTCCCAAGAGGTTTCACAAGACCCTCCTGAGGGCTCAGATTTTTTCCCTGAACCTGAACTGCAGCTCTTTGGAAAGCAGCTGCATGGGGATATGCAGCAATCCTGCATGTTTACCCTCTGAAGGGCACTCACTGCAGGGCTCTGTGTTATCCTGCAGGATGCAGGGCTCGGGCATGGCACTCACTTGGGAACTGGCACCCGGATCACCGTCCCGTCCACCTCTGGGTTCAGGTTCATGCCACTCTCCCTTATGGCCTTTGCAGCTGCAGCTGTGCTCTGTAAAACAGATCAAAAGGTAAAGGGAATTAGGAAATAATCATTCCCATATGCCAGAGCTCTGTCAATAGTTGGCAATCCATCTCCACGGAACATGGAAACATTTACTTGTGTTACCAGTGAGATCAGGAAGTTACATTGGTGCAGAGAGCTTTGATCAAACCGAATGGGGAACTCCGGATTGGGGTAGGGGGGCACGCCGGGAGGAGAGGGGAAGGGAAGCAACAACAAAAGAAAACTCTTTGGCTTCTTTGAAACCGTTTGAATGGTTTGAGGCAACGCAGAGTGAAACCGCAATAAATTCCCAAGGCAGGGCCCGACTGTGGCAAAGGAGATGAAAGATTCTGAGCATTTAAAAATTCCACTTGAGTGTTTCTCCCTAGAAATCACCCAGTGCCAGTTTTGAAACCCTAACGAACTTAACCACTTCAGCACCACAAGCTGACCACAGGACAGAAGGGCAGTGGCAGACGGCTGAGAACCAGCGCTCGTGCCCAGCTCTGTTTATTTTACAGCTCATAACTGAGGATTAACTTCTCCAAACTCCCCCGCCGCTGGCTGGCACTCTGCTGTGTTTGGAAGGTGGGCTGGCAGGTTTGCTTGGTGACTGCAAGGTGATTCCAGGGCTCCACCCCAGCACAAGGTGGGAGTGCACCTCTACAGAGTGCCAGGCTTTGGGGTTAAAGCAGAGTTTGGCCAAGAACACCCACAGGGCTCTGCCAGGTCACTTCATTCTTGACTCTGACAAGCCCCAGGAGTTTTTTTCCTGTGCATGATGCTATTTCTGATACTCTTTGCCATCATTAACTTTAGCTCCAGGCTGCTGCAGTATTTATGTAGCTCAGACTGTATTTATAAAGCTCAGCTTTTGCCAACTGAGGCACAAACTGAAGCTCTGCAGATTTGTTCAGGTCCCTCGTGTGACATCACTGAATGAAATGAATGCTCTGCTGGTGTTCTGCAGGAGACAACTGCTGTCCCCTGAAACTACAAGGGCAGAGAGAATGCAACCAAAATGATCTCAGCACATTAGGAATGTCAGTGTGTTATTCCATGGACAGTGCCTGCTCTGCAGGAAAGAAATACTCAGTAAGAACTGTGTTGTTTAACATAGATATTGGAGGAGATAGAAGAAGAGGAAAGTAATGAGAGAAGGGAAAATATTGCAATATTGCCTCCATCCCCTTGTAGCCTGTGAAAAAATAACTGTATTTAAAAACTCACTGTTTGGTTTTATAACTCTTGGGAAGACTTTGGCTCTGCAAGTCCTCTTCTGTGATTATTTTGTTTCTCAGACTCTTCAGGCAATTTTATTTGCTTCTCAGTGTCATGAACTACTGACTGTATGCTATAAATAATGACATCAAGTGATCGTGTCTCTAATGGTTTTAGTCCAATCCATCACAAAACAGGTGTGGGTACAAAGCAACTGTACTGAGAGAAATGTTCAAGTGCTCCTTTAGCATAGGAAGCAAACGTGGGCAATGCTATCTAGAGGATGTTTAATTTCTCAGGCTGAGCTCCTGCCTGGACACAGGATAAGCCATGGAGGGACTTCCCTGGCCCTCTCAGCACCGACACGCCGCGGGACCTCGCTGATGAGGGGCCTCCATTCCTCAGGGCCTTTATACCCTCTAAGAAACACTTAGGCATCAAGTGCCTTGCACTGACCTCCTCTGAGACTTTGCTGACTTAATTAATTGGGGAAAGCCTTTGCAAAATAAATAGAGATAAGCCCTGGCACAGCTCCAGCCCTGGAGCAGGAGGAGTTGTTAACCTTGTGCCCCGTGCCTGGCTCTGGGACCTGCTGCAGGGCACCACCAGGCTTGGACTGAGCTCAGCTGGGATTTGGATTTGCTGCCTCGTTCAGGGGCAGGCCTAAGGCTCCTGCAGAAAATGAAAAGAGCTTGTCTCTCACAGAAGATAAACCAGAGCCCCTAATTCGGGCTCTGACCTGGAGGAGCTGCCAAGCCCAGCAGTGCCCAAGTCGAGCTCTGTGACAGCACCCAGCACGAGCCTGCTCAGCCCCACCTGGGAAGCTGTTCAGAAGGTCACAGCCTCCTCTCATGAACTCTCAGGGACAGCAGCAGCCCTGGTAATACATAAACAAGTTTCAGAGGTGTCTGATGAAGTCCCCAGCACAAATTCCAACTACACGTCTGGCTCTGTGCATGGCCACGTCTTGACAAGGAGCTGAAACAAATACAAGAGGGCTGATACATCACTGCAGCCATGTGTGCAGTTCAGGTGAGTGTGTGTGCTCAGACTTCTCATAAATGCATGGGAAATGGGGAGGGCTGGAAGGGCACAGTGAATCTAGGGATCTTGGTGTTCTTTTGCAGATCCAACTGCAAAAGTGCCTGCAAAGCAAACCCCTGTAACTCTGGCACTCCTGAGAGCAACTACAGCACTCAGTAACTCTCCTCTGACCCTGTGCTGCTGCAGGTGAGCTGCTCTGGGAGCCACGTGGGGCTGGGAGCTGCTGTCAGCAGCAAAATGCCCCTTCTGCTCTGTGTCAGCTCCAAGTGACACAGCCCAGCCCCAGCCTGCAGCCCTGCCACGTCTGACTGACTCTGTCTAAATGCTCCTTTGCTCGGCATCGACCTGTTTGTTCCCGTGGCAATTATCTCCCCTGCCAGTGTGTCCTCACCTCTGGAAAACTGGTCATGTTCACTGTCATGAGCTGAGGTGACTTCTGTGAGATCTGCCCCAGCTGGTTCAGCGGAAACTTCCCATCTTTTGTCACCACAGTTATGTGATCCAGGGCCCCTCAAAAGAACCAAACACAGGGAGCTTCAGTGAGACAAAACACTGTGCAGGGATGCTGAAGAAAAACGTGTCCACATTGCCCCACTTCCCTCCTGCCATGCAAAATGCAGAGGTTACAAAGGAAAAAACAGTGTTTATTCAGACTTCAGGTGCTGTTTGTGTTCAGGCATCCCCTGTGTATTCACAAGTTAAATATTTCAAAGCTGCTCTAAAGCACAGAAACATGAAAACAAAACTCTTGTTTGTTTTTGCTGCTAGAATAGGAAAACTAAGCAGGATTGTTAAGAATTAAAGGGAAATGGTTATTTTTTAAATTCTTACAACTTAAAGAAAACCAAAATGTTGCTATAAAAATCAAGACAAATATTGTCTTTAACTTAGCAGTGCTATCTTAAACCCCTCTATTTTTTTCCAGGCCCCCAGAGGGGTGCTGTACACTGCCTAATTTAAAGTATTCCATTTCTCCCTGAGCTACTCTTAATCTGCTCTCTATTTTCTGCTGTAAAATGTTAACAGGCCAAAAGGCACATGGGACAGGAGGTACTTTATCAGTGCAATTTAAAAAAATACCTATGGTTAAAATAAATAGTTAAGAGACCGAGCTACACTTCCCAGCTCCATTAAAGACAGAAGTGCCCCTGCCAGAGCTGGGGTGGTGAATGATTCCAATTTGGTCATTGTTTAATGTTAAATTTTACCCCTGAAACTTGATATGCTTACAAATGTTCAGAGTGTTATAGTAACTGCAGCTTAGGCAAACATTCACATTTCTTCCTAAAACACAGGATCCATGAAGGAGGCTTGTACAGGTTACTGCCCACAAAGATGCACAGCAGAAAAAGGTTTGTATATGCCAGACACCAGCCCAATGGCAATTTCCAAAAGGATCATTTAATGGCAATTGGATTTTTCCTGCCCTACTGCACCATTAGCTGACAACCTGCTTCTTCATCACATCTGCAAACAGTTCAGTTAGACACTTTTGACATCTCCCACTTAAAAAAGCTATTTCCAGGAAGCTATTAACAAAAATGGATCCTTCCTGGTCAAGCTCAGGGTGAAGAAAGCCTCAAGCTGGGATGTCAGGGTTGTAGGAATTGGATAACTCCAGGAAAAGAAAATTGATTTTGAAAAAAATCTGAGTTGTCCATTACTAGGATTTGTATTCTTATTTACAGGCTACAGAGCATCACACGAGGAAGTTACCAACCTGGTGAGGTTCTAACATTGAGATTTCTGCTGAAATCTTCTTTCAGAGCTTCTATGACTGCCTGCATGTCTTCACTGGTTTCCTCCAGATTGATAATATCCTCAACTAGGGCAGCACTGATATTCACTTTGGCTTGACTCTGCCCTTTACCTTTAGCTGCAGATTACACAAAAAATTAGCTTCTATTTCTGACAAGTTAGTTAGAAAGTAGAAAGAAGATATTATTAAAGTGCTGCTCAGACTTAGAATCAAGTCTAAGATAAACTGAAGCAAAACCAAAGTAACTGTATTTTCAATGAGTAAAGAGCTCACCACTTGAGCAGCCAAAAATAAATAAACACATTAAACAATACCTATAAATATTGAAAGAGAGGTTGCAAAACCGTGAAGAAAGCTGCCATTTTTACCTCTTTTGGTAGCCAGCTGTCTGCTCAGCAGCATCGGCTGCACACAGCGGCCCGGCGGCAGCGGAGCCGCGGGCAGCGCCCCGGGCAGGGCACGGGAGCAGCGGAGCAGCAGCGCCGGGAGAGGCCGGAGACAGCGCAGCGCCAGAGCCATGGCTGCCCACCTGCGGGAGAGGAAGGCAGCGGGGCAGCGAGGGGCTGAGCCGCACCGAGTCGGGTTTTACCGGGGGCAGGCGGCAGCTCCGTGACGGGGCAGCAGCTCTGGGGGCTGCCGTGCCCACCGGGCACATGCTGCGAGAAGGGCTCGGCGGTGCCGGCACGGCCCGTGCACATCTGTCCAGATGTGCCCGTGACACCAGCCCACGGCTGGGAGCGGCTCAGCCGGTACCGGCTGCGCGCACACCGGCGCGGCTGAGGCTGCCATTTCTGCCTCAGGGCTCGGACAGCCCCACATTCACGGGGTTTATTCCGGCTGCGGGGCTCCGGGCACTCCCCGCGGAGCTGCGGGAGCGCACACGGCACTCGGGCCCCGCGGAGTCGGCGGTGCGGGCGGCAGGGAGCTGCCGCTGGCGGCCACCGGGGGCGGCGGCCCTCCCTGCGCCGGGGACACCCGCACCCGGCCCCGGTCCCCATTCCCATCCCCATCTCGGTCTCGGTCCCGGTCCCGGTCCCGGTCCCCATTCTGATCTCGGTCCCGGTCCCGGTCCCGCACAGGTGCGCACAGGCCCCGCCCCGCCCATCCAAGCCCCGCCCCTCATCTTATCCCGCCCCTCCCTGGCCCCGCCCACACCGCTGCCGCCGCTCAGGACGGCCCGGCCCGCTCGCCCCGGTGCCCCGTGGAAAGCCGCGCCGAGGACCGGGCATCGGGGGCTGGCAATCGGGAATCGGGGGCCGGGATCGGAGCCCGGAGGCGGCGAAGGGGAGGGGAAGGAAGGCGGGAGAGGGCGGGCGCCACCGCCTCGCTCACCGTAGCGCGGCCCTGCGCGTCCCGGACAGCGTCATCGGCCGCGCCGCAGCGTGGCGTCACCGCGCGGCGCCAAGGGCGGGGCGCGGCCTGCGCGGGGTGGCGGCGAGCGGCGCAGCCCGCACGGCCATGGAGCCGGGCCGCCAGGCGCTGCCGCTGGAGAACGCCTCCATCCTGTCCGAGGGCGCGCTGCAGGACGGGCACCGCCTGTGGATCGGCAACCTGGACCCCAAGATCACCGAGTGAGTGACCGCGGAACCGCCCCCGCAGCGGCGCCGCCCCGGACGGGGCCGTGTTCCCGCAGCAGCGCCGAGCCCTGCCCGGCCTTCTCCGGCCCTGCCCGGCCCCGGCCTCAGCCCGAGCCCTGCCCGGCCTTTCCCGGCCTCAGCCCGAGCCCTGCCCGGCCTTCTCCGGCCTCAGCCCGAGCCCGGCCCGGCCCTGCCCGGCCTTCCCCGGCCTCAGCCCGAGCCCTGCCCAGCCTTTCCCGGCCCCGGCCTCAGCCCGACCCCGGCCCGGCCCTGCCCGGCCTTCCCCGGCCTCAGCCCGAGCCCTGCCCAGCCTTTCCCGGCCCCGGCCTCAGCCCGAGCCCTGCCCGGCGGCTCGGGCTGGGGCAGCGCTCCCAGCTGCTGCCTGTGCCCCGCGGCCGGGGGGCTCCTTGCCCGCTGCAGAGGTTGTAAAGCTCTGAGGAGCGGCCCTGCCTGCCGTGCTGTGCGGGCAGGGATCGCCCAGCGTGCTGTGTTTGTGTGTGCGTGTCCTCCCCGCAGCGAGGCTGCGCGCAGCACCCCCTGAAGCTGAAAACTTCCCCAGTTTGGAGAGCAGGGATATGTAGAATGTCAGGCTGGAGATTTTCAGGGTGGCGGTGCTACAAGGAGTGGTAAAGCAAGGCACAGCCCTGGGAATTGTACCCAGAGTGGTTGGGGTCTGTGGGGAAGTGCAGGTGGGCAGGGCAGACCTGCCAAGCAGCAGCTCTGCTTTGGGGTTTTGCTGGGCGTGAGTTCAGCAGAGCAGGGTGGCTGCAGCAGTGGGTGGTGAGGAGGTGGGAGTGCTGGGACTGGCTGCTGTGGGGGTAAATGCACGAATCAAACGTGTGTGTGAGGATTTCATGTTTTCTCCAGGCTATGGATAATTATCTCCTGCACAAGCATAGCATTTGAACAGCTGAATTGTCAAGGGAATATGATGTGCTGTCCAATATTTGGATAGGGTGCTGTGAAATCACTAGGTTGTATAAAAAGGAAAGCAAACCAAAACAATTTGGGCTTTGCACACTCACAACAAACAAGCATTTTTGATTAACTATTGTGTATGCCTGTCGTGGAATACTTTTTCCTCCTGGCTCTTTTTGTCTGTGTGCAGGTGCTGGGGTTTGTTCTGAGTGTGGCTCATCTGAGCAGAGCAGCTCCCTAATAGCCTCTAAATGGGATCATTAATGCTTTGTGATTTCAGCCATTCAGCTTTGGAGGTTTCTGCATTCATTACCACTTCTGTCCCACAGCTCTGTCCCTGTGGTTTGTCCACGTTCACTGACCACGTGAAATTCGATGTTGGAGTTCTTGAGTGTTGTTTGCTGGGTGCTCAGGGGTTCAGGAGCAGGGTGAGGGTGAGGGTGGGAGTGCATTGATCCTTCACGGCCCAGGGGGATCCTCAGTGCTGCTAAAGACCCTTTCAGAGTAGGTTGTTCCTTTTAGTCTTGGCCAGATAAGTAATATGGCAAAATTTACTGTTTTCATCACTTGGATGAAGTGAGTTTGGTGGTTTCTCAAACCTGGAATGCTTCCATGCTCCTAAACGTTTAAAGTTTGCCCAGTGATGAGTGACAGTGCTTGCTGCTTATTTCAGGCTTTATAATTCTGTGTCTTGCTTTTTGTTTTGCTTTAAAATGGCTCTTCTCTCCAGCAAATGATGTTGTGTCTCCATTTCCTTGTGAATAAAAGAAGAGGAAGCTCCTTTCAGCACATTGTCAGTGTAAAGAAAGTGTGTGGTCAGTAAATTTCTATAAATCATCTTGACCCTTACCCTCTCATGCTAAGGGCTTACATCTCCAGTTCTGGTTGTTCCTCTGAATTATTCCTGTTGAGGTTACTACTCACATGACTAAATCAAACTCCTGAAAATGAAATGTTTCTGCATTTGCTGATTTTATCTGTTTTTTAAAGAGCTGCCTTTGTTATTTCTACGTTGGATTTGTTTGAGGCAGAGTAAGGTTGATTGAGTTGTTGGCAGAGTTAATAAGTGGTTGTGACACTCTCGAGCAGAAACGAGATCAGAAAGTCTTGAATCAATCCAAGACTTCCATTTAAAGAGCAAACTAGAGCTGCAGTCAAGTGCTGGGGAGTTAATAGGTAATGTACACATTGCAGCACAAGCTGCAGGAGCAGCATTTATAAATGTAGGGCTGCCCACAAATTACAGCCTGGGAGCTGATGCTTTGGGGAGGTTGTTGCACACACCGAGTGACTGTGCCTCAGCTGGGGGTGCTGACATGCCCTGGGCACTGGGTTATGGTGGCTCTTCAGCTGGCATTCCTCCCTGCTGGCAGTGGTTGTGGGTGATTTCTTTTGTCCAGCACCCTTAAAGCACTGCCTGCCTGTGGGAGCAGGTGCTGTTGGGGGTCTCGAGTGTGTTCTCAGCAGCTGGGAGCAGGACAGCTGGCACCAGGGGACCTCACAGCTGCTTGTGGCACAGGATGGTGTCTCCAGGCACTCTGGGAGCCGTGAGATCCCTGCCGTGGGGTCTGCATGAGGATGGCAGCAGGTGGTTCCTCGTGGTTTGGTGTCAGCACCACGGCAGGGCAGGGCACGCGCTGTGGCTCAGCTGTGTGGTCTCATCACCCCGTGGGGAAAAGCCACATGGTTCAGTTCTGTCTCCGTGTGGCAGGTGGGCTGAAATTGCCTCCTCTGCCCATGCCTGCTCCTAAAGCTGCCTGAGACTTCCCAGCTTTTTGGGCAGGCAGAGATCTCCTTTTCAGCTCTCTGGTTCACATGGCCCAGTTTCCCGTAGCCTTTCAACGCCCATTCATTTTCCAGGGGCATGAAGGAGCGGGTGTTGAACTTCCTCAGCTGCCGTGCTGCTTGTCGAGGATCCCATCCCGATGAGTCTCACCTAGAAAACAATGTGTGCACAAGCTGTTGTCACAGCCCCCCGCTGGCAGCTCCCAGTGGGGCAGAATTCCTCGCAATAATAGATTTCGCATGTGGCCCGGTCCCCGCGCGGGGTCCTTGGGACAGCATTGTTCAGAGGAAGCCTTGCCTGCGTCTGAATAGCGCTCGGGGTGCCAGGAGGAAGAGAGGAGGAAAAGGAAATGGGGGAGCTGCAGGTTTGTCTCGCATCCACATCAGATGACAGGAAGTGGGGATGGAGGTTGGCCGCGGATCCGCGGAGGGGCTGCAGCCGTGCCAACGCTTCCAAGCTCTGGGTGACACACGTTGTTGCCATAGTAAAGCTTTTTACATCTTCTCACCTTTTTTTTTTTTTTTTTTTTTGGTTATTAAGGCTTCAGGTTTTCCATGACAGTCTTCTTCTTCCGTAACTCTTGGCTTGAAGAGCTACTTGTCAAGTTACTGTTAATGCCCTCAGTATTTTAACAGTAACAGACCATAATCACAGCCTAAAACATTGATTATGCAGGATTTCTGAGCTGCTCCACAGAGAGGAGGTGACCTGCAGTTGTAAAATTGCAGGCACGGTTGGAAAAAGGGTTCTAAACAAAATAGATCACATAAGTTATTTCTAGACTGTTGATGAAAATTGTTTTAAAGGAGCAACTCTCAGCTCACTGCTAAGAAGGTATTATTTGAATGCAGATGCTCTCAGGAAAAAAAAATTAAAAAACACCCCCAAAAAGTTCCTTTTGACAAGGCAGCTGCAGGGTCTTTTAGTGCAGAACTCAGGGAGAATCCTCCCTGCCCTTCCCCTGCCTCTGTAATGGCCAGAAGGGGAACAGCATCCTGCTGTAAGGACTTTATTTCCATACTGCTGGAATTCCCAGGGCTTTTTGGAGCAGTGTGTTCACAGAAACAAACCACAGAGGTGCGTTTACATATCTTGGAGGCTCTGGAAGTCCAACACATGGAGTTTTTATACATCACATCTCCAAAGTCAGTGTTTTCACTGGTACATCTGTGTCTGCTTTTTTGGAAGTGTGAGGTGGTGAAATTTGGCTACTGCATAATCAGCTCCTTTTCTTCACCCTGCTCTTTCCAGTTCCCCTTGCTTTCAGAGCAGTTTGAGAGCTCATAGGTGTTGCAAAGGATGTAGGAAGCCTTCCATAATCAATGACAATGTGTGTGTTCCCCTGGGGGGTAGCTTGGCCCTGCTGCCCTGCTCGTCTGTACACACGCTGCACCTTCACCTCTTTAAAAGTGCACATCCTGAATGTCCACTGTGACCCATCCTGTGGGATGACTCACATTCCTGGAACTTTCTTGCCTGGCTTCTGAAGCTTAACAAAGGGCTAAGGCTCTTTTCAGACATCCTATCAGGCTTTATTAGGAAAAATGTTGTCTGCCCTTCCCATCTGGACAGTGCCTGGTGCACTTGGCTGCCTTGGGCCACTGCTGACCATTCATGGCTGGACATGGGAGGTTTCATCTGGTGCCTGGTGTTATCCTGGTAGGCTCTCTGAGCACTGAGTGTTACCTTAAACACTGAAAATTGGGGTTAGACTGTGTGGCTTGCTAACAAACACAATACAGCTGCTTGGGAGATGAGTCCTGACCAAGACACCCTTATTAAACACTTAAATAATTCTTAAATGTCAGGGATGGGGTCAGGCAGTGAAGGAGCAATGTCACTTTTCTCCTGGGTCAGCCAGTGCTGTTAAACACTTCAATCCCAGGGAACCAAAAAAAGCTGCAAAGAACTTTCAGGATTAGATGTGGCCTGTACAGCATATGTGCTCCTTGTTTTAAGTTGCTCAGTGCACCAGATACTAAGCAGACAGATTTACTCTGGCTTTCCCCAGTTTTATTGGAAACAGCACACTCCCCACTGGATGGCAGGAAGATAATTGGCTAAAAAAGTGTCTGACTTCCATGAACATGTCACTGGAAAGCTGTCTGAACAATACAGCTGCTTGGGAGATGAGTCCTTACCAAGACACCCTTATTAAACACTTAAATAATTCTTAAATGTCAGGGA